GGCGTGCCCGGGGAGGGCGGGGGGAGCCTTGGCTTGTCTGGGGGGCATGGGGTGGGGGACAGCTCCCACCATTGCGCATACCCTGGGAGGGTATGGGGGGCGGGGGGCGGGGGGCGTGTGCCCCTGGATCTGTGTGGGGTGTGGGCAGGGTGTTCTCCAGCTGCAGGCTGAGGCTGGGGCTGTGCAGGGCTCTTCTCAGTGCGTGGGGGAGTGGGGAGTTGAACCGAGACTGCACTCAAGGCAGGCAGTGGCAGCACTGGGAAAGCAGGCGCCGGGAAGGGCCTGGCACAGCCCCAGCCTGCAGCTGCAACCCACCCTGCCCGCACCCCATGCAGATCCAGGGGCACATGCCCCCCATGCCCTCCTGGGATGCGCGCAGGGGGCACACCCCCCCACCCTGTGCCCTCCGGATGAGCCGCAGATCTGTCCTGTGCCCCACCCCAGCTGGGCAGCACCTGTCCCAGCCCCTGCCCCTGCCCCAATCTCTCCCTCACTGCGGGGGGCGTTGATCTGTCCTCCCCCACGCCCTTTCCCTCTCCCTTTCCCTTCCACCACAACAGACTTACCAGCTACATGCAGCTCTCCAAGTTGCCAGGCTGTGCTCCTCCCTGCCTGTATGTTGCACTGTGGCTGTGTGCATGCACGGGCATTTATCAGCCAAATTATTGGCCACATCAGGCCAATTTCCGATACAATCAATTTTCTTTATATCGGGACAAATATACCGCTAGTTAAAACAATACATTTTGCTGGTACTAGAAGTTTACACCTCTGGATTGTTGTTCTGTCTATAGAATAGTTTTGAAATGTCAAAACTCTAATGATCTAACTCACACTTTTTAAATCTGCTTTGTCCATGCTTTTCAAGTCTTATATCATTGAATAGCAATTGCCACTCTCCTCAAGGAGTCAGTTGGGCTTTTTTTAATCTCTGCTGTGAGACAACCACTACTTTATTCTTTAAGCAGCATACAACACATGTCTGTGGTTGCTTTTTCAGCCTTGGCAGGCTTAGTAAATATTACCAATGATGTTTAGCATATGATTTTGCTTTAGATTCATTAGTCGCTTATGTAAGTTTTATGACAATTTGGGCGTGACATTTTCAGAACAGATGTATTGCTCTGACCAGCATTTGTTTGTGTATTCCTAAATTGTATTGACTTACCAACTTCTCTTTGGAATAAAGGAAAAAATTTAAACTGTTTTTTTTTCATCTAAAACAAACAGGTGCCATTAAAATGATCTTAAACTTTAGAGTGGAGACAACTAAGGTCTCCTAGCTGAGAGTTCTATTGGCACCTTGTCAGAAGCCTGAATCCAATTTGCAGAAATTTGAATAGATTTTTAGCCCATTTCAATTTTAATATACAGCTATCCCTGTTTAAAATTACTTAACCCAGCATGAGATGTTCTGTTTTGAGTGAGATAGTGAACAGGTCAAGTAAAAGAATTGTATCCTGGGATCTAAAGTCTTTTAGAACCATGCCTACCCTATCTAACTCAGTGGACTGCACTCTTGTACTAAGGGTGTGGAATGAATGTGATTTGGTCTTGTGAGATTACTGTCCACGAAGAAAGCGGACAATTTCTGACAGAGCTAAGCAATAGGGTGTGCTAAGCGGGCCCTATTCGATTTGGATTCAGATTTGGCCCAAATCAGGGACAGTGATTTAATTAGTTGATTCGGATCACTGTCCCTGATTCGATTTGGCCAAATCCGAATGTGAAGATTCAATGCTGATTTGGAGAATCAGCGATTCGGACACAGACACAGCTTTAAAAGTTTTTTCTACATACCTTGAGGTAGCAGGCGCGACTTGTGATCGCTGCGATACTGAGGTGCATGGAGCATCCCACAGGAGTGTGGGGGGGCCCTCCACGTGCTCGGTGGTGAACCTTAAAGTGGACCGGCAGTGGTGCCTCCCCGGCTCAGCGATTGGCCACAAGGGGACCCCAGGTGCCCCTCCCAGACCCAGGAGGCACAGTTACTGAGCTGGGGATTGCTCAGGGGGGGTGGCGCGCTTCCCAGTGGCCCCAGAAGTGCTTTTCTGGTCCACTTCCGGGTCTGCTGCCAAGCGCACTAGGGAGCCCTCGGCACTCCTGTGGGACACTCCATGCACCCCAGCATCGCAACATTCATGAGTTGCCTGCTACCTAGAGGTGTGTAGAAAAAACATTTAAAGCTGTGTCTATGTCCGAATCGCTGAATCTCTCCAAATCGATTCAGAAGGTTTCAATTAGATTCAGAGAGATTAAAGGGTCCTCTGATTTGATTCGGTTTCAACGATTCGACCACAAAATTGGGCTGAATCTCCGCCAAATCGAATCAGGGACTGAAGCTTTGCACAGCCCTACTACTAAGCATTGCTGCAATATATTGCAAAGATTATTTTTGAATTTAGAGCCTCAGCAGTACTACCACTCCCAAGTATTGAAATAATCATGAGTTAGTCCTCAAAAAATCATGACATTAGGGTTTGTTTGTTTTTTAAAAGTAACATTTTAAAAAATGCTGTTGGTGCAATTCATTTCTTTTCTGGTTTTGAACCTTTAGGACCTACTTGGGCCACATCTGCAAACTTTATCTCTACAATCATTAAGAGGAGAGAAAAAATTGTTTAAAACAATAACAGCTGAGATTTTCACATAATCCAGTGACTCCAGGAACTGAGGCTTTCAGAAACAGCATGAAATAGTGTCAAAGTAGTGGGAACACTGCATCAGTATAAACCTTGTAATTCATTGTTACTCTATCTTTCTCTCTTCTCTATAAATAGTTACTGGGGCTTCCAGATGTTGATGATGATGCATTTGAAGAATATAATGCAGATGTGGAAGAGGAGGAACCAGAAGCTGATCATCAGCAGATGGGTGTCAGTCAACAGTAATTTTCTGAGGAATTAAAAAAGCTTAATCCCTTGATACCAGGTGGGGGGTCATGTGACCTCATATTAGCATTTTGAATTAGCACATCACACTGGGAAATCCCAGTTTAAGAAACAAGGAAAAAAAAGAAAGGAAAAGATAATAAATATAAATAAATCTGTGATGAGCTTTGCTAAGAAGTGACCTGAATTTTGCTCCTGCTTCAGTGGGGTTTCTATGGAGTTGTCTTGGTAGCATTCTGCCATTATTAATTTAGAAGTAGTTTTGTCGCTGACTGTCTCTTTGATTTGTATTTGAGAATAACATTCACTGACATGAATGTAGAGTACTTTGAATGTAGGAACTGTTTGGTTAGTGTATTAAGTACTCACATGTGACCTTACTGAGGAAAATTAAAGCAGAGAGTAAATGCAATCTGCACTTTTATTTTTAATTCAATTTTTTTTTACTATACTACCAGACAGAGTACCAAACTGTGAGAGATTTTCCCTATAAAACACTAGTTTAATAGTGGTTGATATTGCGGAAATGCACATAAAGTTTAAACAAAAAAATAGGTAGAGGGGAAAATCCATGTAAATGCTTTTGTGGCATATTTTAATGTTCTCTTAACAAACACCTGAATTTACTGGTGTGGGGTTAATCACTGGGCATAATTAGGACTCTTGTCTCACCACAACATATTAGGATACACATTGGTACTTTGATGCCACCAGTTCCAAAAGCCATTGCATATTTTGTTCCCACATGAAAATCAACTTTCAGTTTCACCATTTTTAATAAAATGACAACTTATTCAAATCTTACAGCTTCCTGAATTAAAGTGCAACTTAACTTTGAAGCCATAATGGTATAAGCCAGCACCTGGCTATTTAAATTATGACAGAATCTTTCCGAGCATTGGATCTCTTGCTGCAGTGTTTTGCAAGCTATTTATACCTGCTCAAAATGAATGCAAAATACTAGTAAACCAGAATGGTAGGGCCTGATTTTCATTCTCAACAAGGGCACTTTATATCCCATCAGCTGTGGAAAGGGACCTCACAGAGAGTGTAAAATGTTACTTGTTAAGGCCCCTTTATATTGTAAGGAGTAAGCCCTCAGCTGATACATGTAGCCTATGAAACCAAGATGATTTGTACCAGCTGAGGATCTGTTCCACAGAGTGGGGTAAAGGGCTCTTAATATACATGGGAATAAGGCCAATAGTATTTTACACCTGCTTTGCACAGATGGAAACAACTGTGTGTGAAAGTCAGACAGTAAAGACCCAAGGCCACTTTATTTACTTGCCTTTTATTCAGAAAATGTAAGAAGAAAAGGGATTCTCTTGTACTGAAGCTATTTTCCACAATCAAACATAATATTTCTACATTATTCCTCTTAGCCAATTAAAAAAGAAAAACCCCAATCCATGAAATGCAGGTCTCAAACGTTAAAGCCATTTGATACAGAATTCACATGATAAAAATGGAAAGTGAATGAAGAGAAAGTATTTAAATAACTCCCAGAAATGGCTGACACCATTTTGAAAACACTGTTATTAACATTATCACCTTTGGAATGGGTTTTTAAAGGCAGTTGTTTTAAAGATTAGCTAAGGAATTTATTTTCTTGGCAATTTGCATTTCTGATGATGGCTTAGGGGATGCCTAGCACTTGATTTTTCTAACTGAAGCAAAACTTTCTGTAACCAAGAGGGAAAGTGATATTTGAATATGCACAGATATGTCTGCAACACTGTAAATGTTTAGGAAAATTGAAAAGTAGAAAAGAAAACTCAATGAAGCTTTGTACATTCTCTTGGCATGCAGGCATAAACATGATAGTCGCAACACATTTTCTATGGACAAGTGACGTGAGAACTGTGGCAGTTCATTGTATAACACTGTACAGCAGTAATAGGCTTTTTGCTTACCAAAATAAAGCATAATACCAGTGGTTTCCATTCCCTTCTTTAAGTACCCAAGTTTTTCTTTCCTCTGCATCTACAAGACATGTTATGAATTGTAAGCAGAGACTTTCTTAAGAGGAGGTATCTGGAGGGGGAGATTCCATCCTTTGATTGCAGCCCATACAAATAGACCCCTTGGGCCTGATCCTCCCTTGTGTTGCACACAGCTCAATCCATAATTGATACTGGTGCAAGGTAGGGATAACATGCTGCTCTGACTGCAAATGGGTGGCCACAGGTATAAATGATTATGTGGACAGGGTCTGAACCTCATTTACACTGCATCCTCTTTGCACCGTTGTGGCAGTATGAAGGGGCCTTAAAGTGGGTGAAGGTGTCATTTGAATGGGCCTCAATGAACTGGGCCCTTAAAGGTCAAGGCAGTCAAGAATCGGGCCTTTTGACTACATTGTGACTTTTAATAAATGTGTAAAGGATGGAGGATTCTTAATACATCCAAAGGACTTCTAATACACACTGCACTTTGGTACCAGGGTATATCAGGCCCTGTGCTCTAAGGAGATGAACACCCTTATTGCCAATTGACATTGCTGAGAGCTGGAAGTGTTGAGCCCATTGCTAATCTGGCCACTACCATGCTCCATTTAAAATTAACTGGAATTTTATACGTAGAAAATACAGTATAATTTTACATGTGTATTAAATCAGAAAAAGCATTAATATAGAATGTATTTTATCAAGAAGTATGAGTTGCTTGGACTTGGGACCAAATACATTTCTGCATCTTCATGTTATTGCTCTGTATTTATCAAACAATTGAAGAAATGCTGAATGAGTTAGTGGAACTGCAATGATTCTAGCTTCCTCCCATCATTTCCACCAAATGGGTTAGAATGATTAGCCACTTGCTCAGTAGCAAGGGCCAGTAGCTTGAATGCCAGGCTGAGCCCCTAAAGCAGCAAACATGCGTCTAAATGCTGGCAGGGTTGAGCTGTAGAGCTTTCTCTTATAAATTCTGTAATTGTGGGGTTGGGATTTTCATGTCAGCCTAGAGGAGTTATGCATTTGGAGCCCTCTGAAAGGCAATGGAAGATGTGTGCCTTACTCCCAAAGACTCCTCTGAAAATCCTGATCTTAACTTTTCTCTGTTTCAGTTTTTCTCTCTATAAAATAGGGCTGATGATGCTATTTAAAGTGCTTTTAGATCTATGGATGAAAAGTGAGAAGTGTTATTTGCCTTTTTTACCTTCAAGCAAAATGTTGGTGAAAGGACAGGGTAGGGGGAGGAGTCTTTTTCATCCACGTTTCAGGTTATAAATAAATATAAATATACCAGAGAAGAGGCTTTTGCAGAGCTGGCTTGTCTGAATGTGAGTTACACTAATGCACTCATCAGATTGCTGCTCGGGGGAATTCGGAAATAGGTGGAATGTCAGAAAAGAAGTGAAATGATTTTGTAGATGTTAAGAACCGTTCTTGGTGGAAGGATGGAATGAAGGGGCAAAAGAGTTAAAAGGCACCTTTCAGAAAGCTGCCAGGATTTGAGAGAAGTTCCAAATATCTGCTATTGCATCCATGCAGTTCATAAATGAACTGCTACAAGGTCATAGGGTTTCAAGGTCAGGAGTGTATGTCTATATAGGTTAACATAAACATGGTTGGTAAAGGTCTTGACGTGGCAGGGGAAAGAAGGGGTGAGGAAAATATTAGCTAAGAGGCCTTCTATTTTTTCCTTGGCATTCACATGACTTGTATTGTGGTTGCGCCTAGGGATCCTAGGCCAAGATCCCATTGTGTGAGGCACAGTACAAGCACAGAACAAAGAGAGCCCAAGAAGCTTGTTCTTGATGTAGTCAACTCATTTTGGAGTCCAAGTAAGTTATGCTGATTGTTCCCTAGCACATAGAAGAGGAGTATCACACACCAGATCACAGTGTTGTGATTGATGGCACCGATATCACAGGACTGCACGTTCTGGCTGTATGCCTTGTCCTATGCTATTTCTTGACTAGTTCCCCCCCTTAGAGAGGCTCTGTGCCTATGAAATCTGTTGAAAACAATTGCACCAAGTTTCCCTTTATCAGTGTCCTGAACCCAAATTATTGTGATTTTACATTGTACTGTAGAGTAGGGAGGCTATACAAGTCAGACCTGGGAGAACCAGGTTTTGCAGTGGATCTACTTGCAAAATGCCCAGCCTAACTTATAGTTGCCTTTTAGGAAGGTATGTACACAGTACATCTGTGTGAAAGGGTCTATTACAGTAAGAGTAACCTGCAGATTGTTGTATTTTTACAGAAGTTTCTTTGAAAAGCTGCTATTTGGAACATGCATTCTCAAGCTTTTTCAATAGAGAATATTTCTGTTAATGTTTTACTAGGGCCTAGGACTGAAATGCACTGGTCAAGGTTTGAGCAAAAGTGATTGGTGGTTTTGGGTTCCCAATCCAAGACATCTTGACAGGAGCCTGGTTTCCAGGAAGTGCAGAATATATGCCCCCTCTGAAAAAGCAAGTCCGTTTAGGGTGTTCCAGGTTGAGTCCCGAAAAAATGAAGGTGTCCATAATCACTGGAAAATGGTGCCTAGCCCAAGGTGCCAGCTCAGGATTGGCCACTTCAGCAACGTAGGACACGGAACAGGAAAGTACCTCCTTGGATATAATAGCTGTATACCCCTTTCTGAAGTTTGCTGAGAAAAAAGGAGTGCTTTAATTATTTATTTAATTGAGGGCAGTGCCCTGTTCTTCCAACCCATTCCTGCAGTAGTTTGGAAAAGACCCTTCTAATTACTAAGCAAGAGAGACTGAAGCAATTTAAATCCTAATCCTGTGAAGGCATACCTATGCTGTCTCTGGACTGAATTGGGAAGTGCCACAATGAAGCCTGGCACACCCACTCCATGTGTGCTGCACTCTGTAACAGATGTAGTGTAGCTGCCTTAGAGCATCTGCCTCTGGCATGCTTGTTGGCTGTATTGCATCTGTCCTTTTCCTAAGGGTGGATATTAAATCAAAGCAATTGAGGCATTCAGCTTGTTTTCCCTAAAGTTGCATAGTACTAGAACTCTAGTGTCTAGTGCTCAATGACACCAGAACCTGACCTTTTGGATTTTTACCCGATGTACTTTGACTTTGATGAAATTGCATTGTTGGCACCTGATGTCTATGGCAAGTGTGCACTGTACACATTAGGAGAGTATCTGATTGCCAGCTGTACCCACAGTGACCAGGTCATTGTGCCAAATAATCACTCAAATGGACTAGATTTGCCTTTTCCCCCATTGCCAATTTTATCATTTTTAAAGCAGGGGTGAGCAAAATGTGGCCTGCGGGCTGGATGTGGCTTGCCAGGCCATTCTATCTGGCCCATGGGGCCCCTAAAAAATTTAGAAAATTAATATTTATCTGCCCCTGGCTGCCTGTCATGCAGCCCTCAATGACTTGCCAAAACTGAGTAAGTGGCCCTCCACCCAAAATAATTGCCTGCCCCTGCTTTAAATGGTGCATTGCCTAAGGGCACATCTGCATTATCACAGATCTTAGTTTATGTAAAGCTATGGAGTACTGCATTGTCCATACAAGCTCAGTCATAAGCAAAACAAAAAGAATGTGTCCATTTGTCTGCAGAAAAATGTCTTCAAGTTAGCTAATACTGGCTATAGGAACGCTTACCCCACTTTCATATAAAATACTTAGAGCTTTTGAAGTTCTCTTTCTGTACTGACATGCTGTTGTCTCCATAGACAAAGATGTGTGATAAACATTACATGTAAAAGGATGCTACTTTTGTCTTCAGGGGGTGGGGAAATGCTAAATCTGGACTTCAGTCTAAACACATTTTTTTGTTGTCAAATTTTACTTTCTTAATGCAGGGAACAATCCAGCGAGCAATTTGTCAAGTAGGAAGAACTTTAAGTTGTCATTTTTGCCATACAACCCCCCCCCTGTTTTTAGTGTGGTTTTCATAATTTTCTTGCTGAAAGGTCTGTCTCTTTCTCTGTGACTACAAAGCTGTGAAATGGGTTGCCAAAAGATGTTGCCCTTTGTAAAATGCTTTAAAAGGTGTGAACTTTCAATGGAACCCTGTCCATTCTTCCATTCCTACTTACTGTCCCCCAGCACAGAGAAATCAAATCCAACAGTGTAGTTAAACCGTAAGCTTGCCATTAAAGAGCTTGCCAAACTTTGATGACTTATGGATTCTTTTTTGTGTGAGTGAAACAGGGATAAAAAGCAGAGCTCAATGAATGTGCTGCAAGAGGGATAAAAAGATTGGCATGAGCTTTGTATCTGCTGCGCAGAATCAGTGAGGGTGAAACAAATGCAGTGTTTGCATTTGTTTGCAAATGTAAGGTACTGAACATCATGCAGTTCCAAGGGTGTTTATAGACGTGCTGTGGGAGTGAGGGAGGACACTTTAATGAGAGTGACTCTGAGAGCCATCAGGCACCCGAGCATCACATATATCAGCATCCCCAAGCTGAAAAATGGTGGTGAGGGTACTTTAACTACAGTTTGTTGAATGCCATTTTTCAGCACAGGGACACTGATACATGTGATGCTGAAGTCTACTTGGACACACTGTAATTACAGCACATCAGAGCAGCCTCGCTGCATGTCTATAGGCAGCCCAAGTTTCTAAGCACTAGGAATCAAGCTGTGTCTTGGAGGGCAGAATTCAGAACCACCAGCTGCTTCAGCTAAATGTGCCTACCGAAACTCTTTACCATTGAGTGCATGAGGCCGTGGATTCATTGATGCAAGGCAGGAACCAATGGTGGACTTTGTTGCTATACACTGTCTGCCAGTAGTTCAGTTCCTCCTCTCATACAAATTAGAGAGACATCTGTTTCATTTAAGAAACAACGTGAACATTTTTAATGGACATGTAAGTACTCTTCCATGGATATGCCTGCCTCTTTAGATGATGCGTTTTTAATTACTTTGAAATCTTCTCCAGAGTTCATGTAAAGATGACATTTCAATTTTCAGTCTGTGGAAAACTCGGATTTAAAATGTAAGCCTGTACGTATTCTTCTGTCCATTTCCATCTGAATAATTCCCTTCAAAAAAGGACATTGTGTCAGGGTAAAACACTGCTAATGCTCAGTGCAGAACCCAGAACCGGTGGCACTACAGAAGGGTCCCACCCTCTGTAAATCAGAAGCCATTCCTTTAGTGCCTGTATACGTGCTGAGCTGCACCTGCTTCTTGAGCAGCACACCTTGGTGATGGTGCCAATGTAAAAGACAGGCAGTTAGATCGCTCCCTTTTCAACCTCACCCAGAGAAAGCCGGGTTGTTCAAATGATTCAAGTTCATAGCTTCATTTTATTTACTGTGGTGATTCCCAGGCTTTGAGGGCTACAACTCCTTTTCTGGTCTGAGCCCATGGGAAACTGAATTTCTGTGGGACTCACAACGGCACTCATAAGTGCTGTGACCTCTCAGCCTGTTTCAAGTCTCAGACTGCGAATCAGTGATTTATGGCCTGAAAATTGTAATGCTTGCCTGCGCACCACGCCTCCTTTGCCATTGCCAAAAATTGTGGCACTAAGAAATAGAAACTCGTGGTTCCTTAGCAGAGCCGTACTCTGTTTTAAATAGCCCACAACAACAAAGCCTTTCTTTTACTCAAAACTTTTACTGCCTAGCACGTTGACTCTACTACATCTGCAAAGTGTAACAGACACAAAACGGCCCACAAGTTTTCCTATTTCACCTCCTACGCTGCGGAAGGATTTTGGCTTGTGCTTTTGCTGCTTGGCCAACAGTTTGCAGTTCACACAATTTTGTTTCCCTAAAAAGTGCATCTCCTGTGTTATTTCACATACATAGGTGCAGGTCATATTCTTAAGATCTCGCGGTTATAATGACACGGGAGCATAAGAACTGCTTTGACTGGGTTACCATTTACACTGACATCCCTTTATATGCCTCTGGTAGTGTCAACGGGCCAGGAAGTGGGTGCGAAGCTTTCATTTTCAGGCCTGTGGGTAGGGCCACAGTGGTAGAGTCTTAACATCAGTGAGAAGTCAGGCCTACACACTGCTGGGACTTCTTATTGCAGTCCCCTAGAGGTCAGTATAACTTAACTTTTGAGTGCCTCAGTCCCAGTGATCATGAACAACCTTATTTGCATTTAGTTCTGGCTCATAAGGGTTTTTGTTCTTGGCTGCATTATCCTTTCTCTTGCTTTGTGCTGGGAACAAGGTCACACCAGGGCAAGACAGTACAAGCGGGGAAAGGACAGTAGAAGTCTTAAATACAGTAGAGCCCATGGGACAAGAACGGCCTGCTTGGCAGACAGCTGGCTAACAGCCAGTCTTAGAGAAACAATGAGGAGTAGTGGGATGATGAAGGGGAAGGCTAGGATTTTCAAAGATGCCAAAGAACAGTTAGGTGCCCACCTGGAGTCCTTTCTAATATAGTTAGCATGTCTGACACTTGGCTTGCCGGGGGAGCGAGGCCAGCTTTTTAAAGAAACACTTGCACAAACATATTTCACTTTGAAAGAAACCAAACCAAACCAAACCAAACCAGTTCCTTCCTCTCCAACGGGCTACCATCACATCCATTGCTGAAGCAATACTAGGAAGAAGAATCTTTTAACTGTGGCCCTGGGTTGGCAAAACCTGTAAATCCACGTATAAACCCCACTAACCTCAATGGAATTAGCTTCTAAGCAAATGCTCAGTTCTTTGCTGAATCAGGGCCTGCATTAGCAAGGGCCTGCTTCTTCTAAATCCAGGGCCCCTGCACATGCTGAATGGGATCTCAAGGCTGTGAAGAGGGGACAGGGGGGTTGGTTTTGCCTATCCTAGTCTTTTGACAATGAAAAATGACCTGGCTTTTCTTTAAAGCTTTTTGTTCTTATGGGAATATCAGCCCCTCTGTTCCCTCTTTGGACTGGAGGATGCTCTGGATGACTAGTATTGCTATTGGAAAGATATATCCTGAACTGCAGCTCTCCTTCCTCTGAGAGTGTGTGGGTTGCCAGAGGTGAGGAAGGGTATGGAGTCTACAACTTGTCCACACAGGGGATTTACATTCAACTAAACCCAGTTACATTGACCAGTAAAGAAATGTTTGGTCCACACCATGCAACTGCTTCACTGAATATAATCAACAAGTCAGCCCAGAGATTTTATTCTTGTTAGGATTTCAAATGGGTCTCATTCCAATAATATTCACAGGCACACATCTCTGCTCCAGAGTATTTTGGTAGTTGGTCAGCCATCTTCCCACAACGCTTGGCACCTTGCTCTTTATGGGAAGTTTATTTACCTGCATGGCCTCTACTGCTGTGGAGTCATGGCAAGTAAATGATAGCTCCTGTTTACATTTTGGCATGCAGCCAGATTCTGCCTCTTTGCACTGACAGGTTCCACAAGTCCACACTTTTCTAGTGCGCTTGCATATTTTACCTGCTACCACTGTCATGCCTGCTTGCTGGGCTTTCAGCTGGAACTGGGCTGAGTTCTTGGACCTCCTTACCCCCTGCAGAGAAGCAAAGCTGCAGAAAGTCCTTGCATCCAGCACAGAAACTAAGATATTCATAAAGGCATTGCCATGGTGATGGCCACATGGGGCCATAAATGGGACACCATGCAGTCCTACGTAAAGACAAAGGATTTAAAGGTGAACTAGAGATGGGAGAAGGACAGAAATCTCATTTCCATCAGTGCTCTGCCCTCCCATTTATCCAGAATTTTGGCATGGTATTCCAGCACAAACCTGCATTTTGTGTCAGACCCAAAAGATGAATGAGAGGATGCTAGGAGTGTGGATTCTGGTACTGTCATTCTGATTCTGGATGTGCTAGAAAGCCAGGAGCAGTTCATTTTGCGTGAACCCAACCAAAGCCACACCCAGACCATGACAGATATTGAAGCCCCTATCTCACTTGCCAATAAGCCATTTGCCCTTGAGACCACTCAGGCTGCTGAAAAGACTGGTAAGCATTGTTTATTTTGCTTTTATTACAAGTGAGTGTTAATGCATGCTGAGATGTACCACCTACTTTTGTTTTTACTCTCTGTGCTAGAAGCTTGGGTGAATTTGAAATAGGTTCTTTTTTATAGCAAAATAAAGCCAATAAAAGCTTTTTAAAAACTCTTAAGGCTTTTTTTCCCAGTAAAATCTTTATCAATGCAGGTTTGAAATTTACTATGTGTTATACAGCAGTAACGTTTTAAGAAGCAAGAACAGCACTGTGAAGTACAAACAGAGTAATCCCCCTATCGCTACACCTAAGTATCTGGAATTAATTGTAAAACAGCACTTGCGGCACAGTGAGCTTTGAGCATGTCTCCAGGTGATACACTGTATTTACTCATGCCCATCTTTTCCCCAAAAATTAGCCTTCTAAAATTGAGGTGTCTTAAGCTAATTTTCTTTCCAGAATACATGCACCCCTTTTTGATTCTTGCTCCACCCAAGTTTAAAACCAACTGCCCACGAGTAGTAGCCAGACAAGGTTCGTCAGGTAAATCCAATATCTTTTAGTAGACCAAATAAAATAGTTGGAAAAATTGTTCTTAGCAAGCTTTCAAGTACCAACACCCTTTCCCCCCCTCCCCA